GAGGCCCCCAGAAACACCCCAAAACGGCCCAAGGGGCCCCGAGAAAGGCCACAACACGGCCCAAGAGGGCTCCAAGGATGGCCCTAGAGGCGCCCACGACGGCCCAAAAAGGCCCAAAGACAGCCCAAACAACCCCACGGGCCAGGCCATTGGGACTCCGCGGTCCATTGGGACTCCTGCAGCGCGGTACCAAAAGAGGCAACACGAACCGGAAATCCGAGCCTTCCACCCGAAGAAGCCCCTAGGGGGCTCCCAGGAGGCCCCAAGAGGCCCCACAAGACCCCCACGAGGCCCCGAAGACGCCCCACTAAGCCCCAGAACGGCACCCAAATACATGTGCACATAGCCTTACACAGTCAAATGCATATGCATGCACATGCGCGTATGCGTCTAGTTACATATACACATACACAAACGTATGCATGTGTATGTGTATACCTATGTATACATATACATAACTATCACACATGTATATACATGCATGTACAGTAATATGCATGTGCAACTACATGTACATTCACACATACATATACCTCTGTATCTACACATGCATAGGCTTATACGCATGCGGAAGCATATGCAGCTGCATATCCATATGTAAATGCATATGCATAGAAATACTGATTGACATTAACGCATAGCTGTATCTGTACCTATACCACATACGCATACATGCATCTACTCTGAAGGGCGTTTTGGGGGCCCTCACCGGGCTCCGGCTTCCCTGCCTGCCCCGTGCCCTGCGATCTCCCTCTGTCCGATGCGAGTCGGGCGATGAAGAAGGTGCTTCTCCTCCTTCCTCTTCTTTCCTCCTCCTCCTCATCACCACTAACATTTACTGGGTGATGCGATTCGGTCACAGCTCCAACAAAGTAGTGACAAACAAATGGTGCGAACTTGAATGATACAGGAACCAAGCCCGCGGATTGAGCCGAGACCTAAAGGCCCAGAGGAAGGCAAGGTTCACAGAGCGTCCCCCCACAAATTTCGACACGGCCCTCACACGGATCGTGCCCCCCCCGTCAGCTTCACTTTCGAAGCCAGAGACACAGTTTGCATGGCGCCCCTCACACCATCCCGACCCACACTTCAAACTCATCGTTTGCCAGAGGGATGTAGTTTCACGTGCGGCCCTAGTGGGAGGAGACGCAGAACGTCACGTCCCCATGTGTGTAGACTTTCTCCTCAAACGGATCGTTCCCCACAGGGAGTTCCACCGACAGCCCCAGAGCCAAGGTTCGAATCCCGCCGCCCCGCCCATGGCGGCACACCCATGACCTGGATCGTGAGTTCGGGGCGTCTTGGGGGCCTGTCGGGGCCTCGCGACGTGTTTTCGACGGTCCTCGTGAAACCCTGAGACATATCTTGAATCAGGAACCTCTTGAAATATCTCTGGGCACGCAGTGCAGGAAGTGGACGCGAGACCTCCCATTTGTTTCTGGGTGTCTATTGGGAGGCCTCCTGGGAACGTGTTGTAAATATTATGTGGGCCTCTTGGGGCTCCTTGGGGGTCTCTTCGGGAATCGGGGTGGGGGCGTTTCAAAGGACCCTCGCGAGCCTCTGGGGGTCTCTTGGATGTGTCCTGTAAGCTTCCGGGAGGTGCGGGGGGCATGTTGGGAACCGCCTCCACCAAGAGTGTGCCCCACGATCCGTTGTGGCACCCTCTTGGAGCCCTCTCGGCTCCCTTGGGCCGTCTTGGAATTCTTTTGGGCCGTGTTTGGGGCCTAGGAAGCGTTAGTGAAGCCTCCTGGGGCGCCTCTTGGGCCGTCTAAGACGCTGCCAACCACCGGAGAGGCGAACGCCGCGTTAACAATACATTCGGTCCAGAGAAATTTGGCAATTGTGGCCACCTGGGGCCCTTACGGGGGGGGGGAGGGGGTCCTTGGAGGCCTCTGGGGGGCCTCCTGGCGCGTGTCAGGACGGTCTGTGGGCATCATCGGTTGCGCCAGAGCGCCCCAGACGCAATGTAGGGCAGTTTTGGGCCATTCGGGGGGGTGCTTGCAGCTGTCCAGGAGCTCTCTGGGCCTCCACGGGCCGCCGGGGACCACCATGCGCATCGAGGGCCGCAGTGTGGCCCCCCCCCTCCCAGCCAGCGCGAAAAGAGAAAGAGAGAGAGAGAGAGAGAAAGAGACAGAGAGAGAAAGATAAAGAGGGAGAGAGAGAGAGCGAGAGAGACAAAGAGAGAGAGAGAGAGCGAGAAACAACAGGATACAGACATGCGTACATGCACCCAGGTACATACATACATACATGCATACACGCATACATGTATTACAGTCAATTACAACACAATGCATTACACTACATTGTATTGCATTACAGTACATTACAGTACCTTACAATACGTTACATTTCATTTAAGTTCATTACATTAAATTACATTATATGACATTACCATAAATAACATTACATGGCAGTACATTACATTACATTCCATGGCATTACACTACATTACATTATATTACATTACTTTACCTTGCAGTACATTGCGTTACATTACATTACATTACACTACATACAGGCGTGCATGCATTTCTGCATACAGGCTTGCACACAAACGTAGATATACATATATACATACATACACACATCCATGCATATATACATACACACATACACACATACCTACCTACCTACCTACCTACCTACCTACCTACCTACCTACCGACCTACCTACCTACCTACCTACAGATATACATACATGCATGCATACATACATACATAAATACACACACGCATGTCTACATATATACATACGTACACGAATACATACATACATGCATGCGTGCATGCATGCATATGTACATACGTACACACATAAACATATATATGTATATAGATATATGTGTGCATGCATGTATGTATGTCTGTATGTACACACATATATATATATACACATATGTGTGTACTTATGCATGCATGTATGAATCGGTTTGCGTATACATATCTATATATATATATATATATATATATATATGCATATGCATTTACACCCGTCGCACTCAAGCTGCTCCAACGACATGGTGCGAGATACTGCGGTTTCTGGCGCGACCCCGACAGAAACGGTACCTGCACAGCCGAATTCGGAGGTGGACGCGACGGAGAGGAGGGACAAGGCGGGCAAGTGCCTACCTAACCGCTCCCCCGTAATTGCCCAACATCCGCGCATGCCTGACGAGCTGTCACTCGCCGTACCCTCGGCGCCTCTTCACGCTCCGCCCAGCATCTTGAACCCTCCCGTCGTCTTATTCCTTTCTCCCCACATCCTTCCCCCTACTACCCAATTCCTCTCACCTCCTGATCCTTCCTCCTCTCCTCCTCCCGCTTTCCTCCCCCATCAGTTGCAACTTATCCTCCCACTTCCCCCTCCTCCTCTTTCGCCGCCGTCCCTCCTGCTCCTCCATCTCCTCGCGTCCTTCAAACCCCCTCTTCAGCCTCCTCCTCCTCCTCCTCCTCCTCCTCCTCCTCCTCCTTTTCCTCGTCCGCGCCCTCCTCCTCCTCCTCCTCCTCCTCCTCCTCCTCCTCCTCCTCCTCCTCCTCCCCTCCTCGTCCTCCTCCTTCTCCTCCTCTTCCTCCTCCTCTCCAACGTCCCCGAGGGGACGATTCTGACCAGAATGTCGGTGCGAATCCAGCCGCGGCGACGAGGGCCTCCCAAGAGGCCCAGACCGGTGCAAACGAAGGAAGGGTAGCGCTATCGGCACCGTCCCAGACATCGATGTCCTGACGGTTTCCATGCGCGGCCCCCCTGGAGTCCCGACCCCTTCCCCGAGGCTGGCTGCTCATCCCGAGAACTTGTCTGACGGTCCCGCGGCCCGACGAGCTTGCCCCAAAACCGACGACGAGGGACGACCTCCGACCTCCACCCTGCAACCAGAGAACCTCCTCTGACCTCCTCCTCCTCCTCCTCCTCCTCCTTCTCCTCCTCCTCCTCCTCCTCCTCCTCCTCCTCCTCCTCCTCTTCCTCCCCCTCGGCGGCCGCGTGTCTGCCGCGCGTGGGGAGCACGTGGAGTGGGAGCCGGCAGACACCCTCCGCCGCCCCGCAAGGAAGGCAGTTCCCCCAGGGTGGCCGGCTGTCTAGGGCATGGCAGAGGCCACTCCCAAGGGGGGAGGGGTCAGCCGGCAAAGGCATATAAACTTGGCGTGCCCCTTCCCTCCCTCCTCCCCCCCTTCCCTCCCTCCCTTCCTCCACCCCCCTTTCGCCAGTCTCGCCATCGCTCGGACGTCCATTCCCCGTGCATGTTCGGCTTGTGCGTGTACCTCTTGTATCTCTTTCGCAAGATGACCCGAAAGGCTCTTCGATTGTCCTCGCCGAGGTAAAAATTACACCTGAGAAAACCCAAATCAGTGGATGATTTGAAAATTAATACTATGGATCTTGAGATCGAGTGTGAGATCGATAATGAGATCGATATGTGAATCGATAGTGAGGACGATTGTAAGGTCGATCGTGAGACCGATAATGGAATCGATTCAATGAGATCGATAGTGAGATCGATCGCGAGATCGCTCATGCGATCTCTAGTGAGATCGCTTGTGATATCGAAAGTGAGATCGATGGTGAGATCGATAGAGAAGTGGGTAATGAGATCGATGGTGAGACCGATCGATACGAAAATCGACGAGGATTCGGGGAACCCGGGAACCTCGTCGCCCTCCGAAACCGGCCCGGAACCCGGAACCCAGGAACCCAGAGCCCGGGAACCCAGCGTGCGACCAAAGTCGGCGGGACACTTTCCAAATCCTCCAACTTCCGCGAGGACCCCTTCAGTTGAAGGGGCCCCAGGACACACAAATAAATACACACAAATAAAGTGATTCCCCATATTTACCCATATTTTTTGAGTTTTTGTCTTCCCCCCCACTTCCCATATTTTCCCATATTTTCCTGGGAGTGGACGATTAATTGTGTCTGTGTTTTTTCCCCTCCTGATCAGTGCAGGCACCGGTGGGGGGAAAAAATGCCCACGCCCGAGCGATGCCCAGCCGTGGGGGGGCGGCTCCTCGGGCGGCGCACCACTCCTCCGAGGCGTGGGAGGGCACCGCCTGCGGCTCGCCTGCGGCGGGGCCACCGACGACCGCCCAGAGGGCTATGTCGGGCGAGTCCCCCTACAGGGGGATTTTCGACGAAAAATAAACAACACTCCAAACATACAACAAAAATGTCAAACAATACTCCAAAAATAGTCCCCTGACTATTTACCTAACAGCGAAGACTGATAGGTTTCTAGTGGGATCAAAAGAGAGCAGCAGATCACTCCACAGGGGGGTCCGGGCAGGTGTTGGGAGTTGCCGGGCGGCAGGTGCCGGGCTCGTTTTTCACCAACAGTCACACACTTCGTGCTCTTCGACTTCCCAGAACTCCATTCCCAGGCCACATTTCTGAATACCCGGATGCAACAGTCACACACTTCGTGCTCTTCGAGATCCCAGAACGCCATTCCCGGGCCACATTTGAGGGCCGGATGCAACAGTCACACACTTCGTGCTCTTCGAGTTCCCAGAACTCCATTCCCGGGCCACATTTTGGATGCCCGGAGCCAACTGTAGGCCACTTCGTGCTCTTCGAGTTCCCAGAACTCCATTCCCGGGCCACATTTTGAATGCCCGGAGCCAACTGTAGGCCACTTCGTGCTCTTCGAGTTCCCAGAACTCCATTCCCGGGCCACATTTTGAATGCCCGGAGCCAACTGTAGGCCACTTCGTGCTCTTCGAGTTCCCAGAACTCCATTCCCGGGCCACATTTTGAATGCCCGTAGCCAACTGTAGGCAACTTCGTGCTCTTCGACTTCCCAGAACTCCCATTCCTGGGCCACATTTTCAGCAGGGGCAAGAGCACGACGAGGAGGAGGACGAGCAAGACCAGGAGGACGAGGACGAGCAGGAGCAGGACGAGGAGCAGGAGGAGCAGGAGAAGAAGGACGAGCAGGAGGAGGAGGAGGACGAGCAGGAGGAGGAGGACGACCAGGAGGAGGAGGACGACCAGGAAGAGGAGGAGGAGGAGGAGGAGGAGGGGAGGGGGAGGAGTACCAGGAGGAGGAGGAGGAGGAGGAGGAGGAGGAGGAGGAGGAGGAGGAGGAGGAGGAGGAGGACGAGGACGAGGAGGAGGAGGAGGAGGGGGGGGGAGAGTACCAGGAGGAGGAGAACGAGGACCACCAGGAGGAGGAGGAGGAGGAGGAGGAGGAGGAGGAGGAGAGAACACCAGGAGGAGGAGGACGAGCAAGACGAGGAGGACGAGGACGAACGAGGAAGACCAGGAGGAGGAGGAGGAGGAGGAGGGGAGGGGGAGGACTACCAGGAGGAGGAGGAGGAGGAGGAGGAGGAGGAGGAAGAGGAGGAGGAGGACGAGGAGGAGGAGGAGGAGGACGAGGTGCAGGAGGAGGGGGGGGGAGAGCACCAGGAGGAGGAGAACGAGGACCACCAGGAGGAGGAGGAGGAGGAGGAGGAGGAGGAGGAGGAGGAGGAGGAGAGAGCACCAGGAGGAGGAGGACGAGCAAGACGAGGAGGACGAGAACGAGGACGAGCGAGGAGGAAGAGAGGAGGAGGAGGAGGAGGAGGAGGAGGAGGAGCAGGAGCAGGAGAAAGAGGAGGAGGAGGAGGCAGGCTGAGGCTGAGGCTGTGACTGCGACTGCCGTTGCCGCTGCGACTGTCATCGCGAATGCGACTACGACTGCGAGAACAGCAGAACTCGACAACTGGATTTTCATCTGGTTCGGTTGCTTTGCCGGGATAATTTTTCAGTAAACTTACAACATGCTCGACAAATGCTCCGCAATACCCAGAAAAATGCAAAACAAATACTCCAAACATAGTCCGCCCAGAGGGCCGCCGAGGGGGCGCCGAAGGGCCACCGAAGGCCGCCAGAGGGGCCGCCGACAGACACCGACGGCGACCGACGGCCGCCGAGGACCGCCGAGGGCGGCCCCGCGTGGGGCTCGCCCGAGGCGGCGCCCCCGCGCCACGCTCGGGGCCCCGAGGAGCAGGCCAGCTGCTGGCCGCCCAGAGGGCCGCCGAAAGACGCCGGAGGCCACGGGAGGCCGCTGAGACGAATCGGGAGCGGCCAAGAGGGGGGTGTCCAAGAGGGGGGGGTGCAAATCATGACCGGCGGCATGTGCGCGGCCCAGCGGGGGGGCCTGGGACGTAATGAGATAAGAAGAGGCGCCATGAAATCTGAGGAAATATCAAGGCCCCCGCCGTGAAATCCCCCCCCTAGTCATCACCCCCCTCTTTTCCGCTCCCGAACGACGGCAGCGGCGACCCTCCAGGAAGACCAGACTGGACCTGAGACCCATGCGTTGCGCATGTGTCAAAGCTGGCATGTTCGGCAGGGGTCGAGCCCCGGGGCCAGCACGGCTCGATCCGGGCGCGAGACGTCGGAGGGCAGGGACGCCAGGCCACGGGCCCCGGGTCAACATCTGGCCAGAACAAGTCGAGGGTCTCTGAGATCGGGCGGCTCTGGAGGATCTGTCGGGCGCCGAGGTCGTTCCAGGGCGCTCCGGGAAAAATCCCACCAGCCCTTTGGGCGTGAGTGGTTTAGAGAGCCCGCTCTGTCCTCAACCCCCTTCTTCCCCTTCGGGGAGGGGTTTACCCCTCCCCCTACCCCCTCCCCCTGGGCCTGGACAGGGTGCCCCGCGGGTCGTTGGAGGGGTCTTTTTCGACTCCTGGGAGGGCCAAAAAACGACGACCCTCACGAGGATTCTGGCCCCGACGGGGGGGGCGAGTTTGGCCCCTCTGCTCTTCTTTGAAGCCAGAATCATTGATTTTACTAAGGTTTTGGCCCCATTTTGGCCTCCTGAGGGGGCCGCGCTTCTCTTCCCTCATAGCAAAATCATTGATTTTACAAAAAGGTTTTGGGCTCATTTTGTCCTTCTCAGGGGGCAGCTCTCCTTTGCGCTTCTGCGGGGGTCGCAAGAGGCCCCAAGATGGCCCCAAGAGGCCCCCAGGAGGCTCCCAAGAGGCCTCCAAGTGGCCCCCCAGAGGCCCCCAAGCGGCCCCAAGAGGCCCCCAAGAGGCCCCCAAGAGGCCCCCAAGAGGCCCCACGAGGCCCCAAGAGGCCCCCAAGAGGCCCCCAAGAGGCCCCCAAGAGGCCCCCAAGAGGCCCCCAAGAGGCCCCAAGAGGCCCCCAAGAGGCCCCCAAGAGGCCCCACGAGGAGCACACCACGACGAAGGCCCCGAACGACTCACACCACGAGGAGCCCGAACGAGTCACACCAGGAGGAGGGGCCCGAACGACTCACACCAGGACGAGGGGCCCGAACAACTCACACCACGAGAAGCCCGAACGACTCACACCAGGACGAAGAGCCCGAACGACTCACACCACGAAGAGCCCGAACGACTCACACCAGGAAGAAGGGCCCGAACGACTCAGACCAGGACGAGAAACCCCAAACGACTCAAACCACGAGGAGCGCTTTCTCTCCCTCCTCCTTCGCCTCGTCCTTCTCCCGCTCCCCCCACAAGGAGGATGTACAAGGAGGCGGGAGGAAGGAGGAACAGGGGAGATATGCGGGGCCAAGCGGACACACGCCTGAAAAACACGACTGTCGGCATGCTTCGCGAGAGTTGCTGCTGTGAGATGGGCTGGTGGGGATACGCGAAGCGTAAAGAATTCTGAGAGCATCCCAGAGCGCCATGGAACTAGTCGTCCCGGTCCTGGCCCCGCCCGAGGGCCGCCAGAGGGTCGCCGAACGACGCCGAAGGCCGACAAAACTGGAGGTCCCGAAGCGGTGCGATGACACACCGTGCGGTGACCTCGGAATTCCAAGAGACCTCACCGCACGGTCCGTCGCCGCACGGTCCTGTTGGCCTCGGAGGCCCCAGTCGCCCGAGTGACGCCCTCGCAGAGCGACCCGACGTCCCAGAACCGTGCGGTGACACCGACTCCCCACCACTGACTCACCACACGATGTTCGGGTCGGGCGACAGGGGGGGATAGCAAAGGGGGGCTTTGAGAATCAGCTCACGCAGCTGACTTTCCCGGCGCCTCCCGGCGCTGGGATGCGCCCATGCATCGAGGAACGGGCCCCTCGGTGGGGCCGAAACCAGCCGCACGCAGCAGATGTCGTCACCCCTCCTCCTCCTCCTCCTCCTCCTCCTCCTCCTCCTCCTCCTCCTCCTCCTCCTTTCCCAATTCCCCCCCCTTTCGTCCGGCCCGAGATGTGGCCGCCGCTCCAGTCGGAGGGAGGGGGGGGGGGCGACGAGGGCCGCCGAGGGTCGCAGAGGACGGCCTCCTGAGGCCGAGACAGACGGTCTTCAGTGTAGGTCCATCTCCTCCTCCTCCTCCTGCCGCATCGGCGATGCATCCCCAAACACTCGATGTCCCGATGTTGAAAGGGGCCCTGGGACACACACACACACACACACACAAACAAATAGACACGAATCAAAAAGGATTCCTCGCAGTTTCCCATAGTTTCGGGGTTTCTGTCTTCCCCCCCACTGCCCATACTTTCCCATATCTTCTGGGGAATCGATGATTACTTGTGTCTGTGTGTTTTTGTCCCCTCCTGACTCTTATCAATGCGGCATCCCCGAAAGTCTGGACCCTCCCCCCAGAACGGCTTCTTCTTGCGCCGTTGCCTGACGGTCTTGGAGCCCAGCGGAGGCCCCCGGGGGGCCGACAACCTTCCGCCGTGGTCTGCTCACGACGCGAGCAGGTCTGGGTCGGCGACGCCGCGGTGACGGGGATTGGGGCTCTCCTCTGGCCCCACACTGCTGGGGCTTTTGGGGCCTGGAGTCCCCAGCCCCTCGTGAGGTCGGTCCACGGCCGATCTACACTCCATAGATGGGCATGTAGGCTCATGTCGGGCGTGTCCCCCTACAGGGGGATTTTGGACGATCAACGAAAAATAGTCAAACAGTACACCAAAAATGCCCCCAAAAGTCCAAGAATAGTCCCCATTGCATTTAAAAAAAAACCAGTTGGGAAGATCCCTCCTGGACAGGGACGGGCCCGACTTACATCTAGGCTGTTCCCTTCGGGATTCGAGGAGCCCATCCCCAACTGGGGCGGTGGGGTGGTGGGGCGGAGATGCCATGGCCCAAGGCGGATGGGGATACATCGCACGATGTGGAAAGCCTGACCATTACACCAGGCAGTGGCAGGGAGGGTAGGGCCTGGATGTTTTAGAAGAAAACTGTGCATGCGAGCGACCTTTCATCCGATGCTTCTGTGCAGTGCCACTTTGGCTGAAGAGCCCCTGGAGGGCGAAAGCGACCTGCGCTTGGCACACAAAACACATCAGCATCCGAGCAGGCTTGATAGTCCTTTCGATCGGGGGACCCTCTCGCCGGGAGCAGGACGAGGGAGGCGGTGCGCCTGCAGGGCCGAAACGCCGAGGAGAACCGTCGGGGCTCATCAAATCCACGGCGCCGGACAGTCTTGGCCCCACCGTGGGGGCGTGAAACTCGAGTTCGACGGGATCGAGCTGGCCCCGCGGATGACCCCAAGAGGGCCCCAAGAGGGCCCCAAGAGGCGCTCCAGGGAGCCCAAATGCCTCCAAGATGGCCCCACGAGGGCTCCGGCTGGGCCCCACGATGGCCCCACGATGCCTCCAAGAGGGGGGAAGCGTAAGACTCGGGGTCAGGAAAACTCGAGTGGGCCTGACGGGGCCGTCAGGAATACGCCGAGACCCAATCTCTGAAACGGGCGCGCCTGTCAGATGGCGTCGGCAAACGGGATCTCCAGCGAACTGGAGTCGCACGCTTCCCCAGCAAATTCACCCTGGGCCAACCCTGGGCAATCTTCCGAACTGCATCCAACCGCGGTGACAAGAAGGGCCCCTCGAAGGCCAGAGTCGGCGGTGGACAAACCTCACTTTTTTAGTAGACCTCCCCTTAGTGAAAACGGCCTGGGACCGAAACCGACGAACCTGGACCCGCAAAAACGACGGACGCGACGCCCCCTCGCGAACCGAAAACGGCCACCTCAATCGACGTGTCAGGGTGGGAGGTCTGTCCACCCCCGACAGAGAAGCACGGAAACGAGGGGGCGGATGGGGATTATCGATCGGTGGGTGGGCCAAGGGCAGGAGGGCGCACCGGGCCATGGGCAGGGGTGGTGCGAGCCTGCGCAGGAGGGCCCCGACGCCAGGAGATGCGGAGGGGAGGAGGAGGAGGCGGGGGAGGAGGGGAGGGGGAAGGGGCGTCTGCTCCTCCTCACCAAACTCCTTTAGAGGCCTCCTGGATGGGGTCCGAGCAAGTGAGGTCGGAGGACTGCACCGCATCGCCGATGCATCGCCGACACATCGGCGACGCGCTGCCCGAAGGCTGGATCGGCGCGAGTGGCGCGCGCGAGGACAGCGATCCAGCGGTCGCGAGGAGCGCGGGGCAAACCAAACATTCCACTGATCTGATCGCGCAGAGCCCGCGCTCCCGCCCCGCTCGGCGCGTGCTGGCATGGTGCGGGCCTCTCCCCGACAAGCTCCGCCTCCGTCGAAACTGCCCCCCCCACCTCCCCTGAATAGGGGCCCTGGGACACACACATAAATACACACACATCAAAAGATTCCCTACATTTTCCCACATGTTCTGGGCTTCTGTCTTCCCCCCCACTGCCCATCTTTTCCCATTTGTTCTGGGAGTCAACGATTCACTGTGTCTGTGTGTGTTTTTGTCCCCTCCTGAAATCAGGGCCGCGATGGGCGCGAGGCGCGCGCCGTGCTCCGAGCCCGAGCAAGACATGGTGCAGGATCGCAGCCCCACCGCGAAAATATCTCCCTCCTCCTCCTCCTCCTCCTCCTCCTCCTCCTGGTTGAAGACCTTTGAAATCAGCACGCTCGCCATCGCTTGGACGTCCATTCCCTGTGTTTTTTTTGGTTGGTTTCGTGCGTAGTTTTTTCCGCCAGATGTTCCAGGATGCTCCTCCATGGCCCTCGCCGAGGAAAAAAAACACGCACACGTCCGAGCGATGCCAAGGAGGGGAACCGTTGACGCGAATGCAATCGAGACAAGCCATCGAAACAACGTGCCCACCCACATCCTCCCTGTGCTCGCGTCAACGTCGCGGACATCTGGAAAAGGAATACTCGCGGGAGTTCGCGAGAACGGCCCCATCGCGGTACTGTCGCGTCTCGGCTGCGGCGTTGCAGCGACACTCGCTAGCGAAGATGGCGCGGCACTCGCGCGGCCGAAGTCGTCGAGGCCGAGGCTTGCGCAGAAGACCACGCTTCTCAGGCTGCCCGATTGGACGCGCAAGGTGCGAGTTACAGACTTGAAGCACTCCGTCGGGGCCGCGACGCGCGAGAGCATAACGCCGCCCATCCAGTGCAACGGCGCAGCTGAGGGCGTTGAAGAGCTCGGCGAGATTCAGGCGAGGGCGCGGCCGAAATGCCGCCGGCCCGCGCCCCTTCACAGAAACTCCCGCAGAACATGCAGCCAGGGAGGTCGCGCTCCACAATCGCCGTGCCCCCATCCGAGCCACGCACTTCTTGGCAGCCGGCATCCCGGCGCGAGTTCAAAAGGCGACGAAGCTTTGCATGCCGATTCTCTCCAACGAGATG